GTTAATTATTTAAAGTATGTTAATTTTATAATATTATTTAAATATATAGAATATGAATCTGGGTATAAACTTGAGTTTACAGTTTTCATAAGACTATCTAAAATACAATTACAATAAATGTACACAAAACTACAAAACCAATACAATGATACATGATGTTCAACACTGCTCTTAATGTAGACTGGCAGGATTCTTTTTTTAAAGGTCGGCTCACCAATGCTATGGTGTGCCATATAATGACTGAAATGTCTCATCCGCTTTCTGGATCCACATTATCACCAAATCTTGGTTCGGAATTTTTGCCATTGTTGTTTGCCTTTCTTTTGGAGGAACATGGAAGCTACACACTAAGTCGGCTTGTGTCTCTTGTCATTAGCTTGGTTACAAATGAAGTTGAATTATTTGGCACTAATGCCATGAATTGCATAGCATTTATAAGGAGGATTTTCAGATAATCCAGAATGTGTTGGCGTGAGAGTGTTGAAAGAGTAACACCAACATAAAAACAAAACAAAATTTAAAAGAATAAAATATATTTACATGGAGAATTTGTGGGATCTTGAAATTTTGCCCCCAGATCTAAGTACGAGAATCATTGTCTTATACCATGCCATCTTCAATAAATAATATTTGTGAGGTGATGCCCTATTATTTGTACAGCAGTTTCCCATGTTACATCACTTAATTCTTATTTCAATTCTGTGATGTAGGTTTACAAAGATACTCAGTGAGCACCATTACAGTGCTGGTAAGTGTGCAGCTGAATCTCAAATACCCATCTTCTGACTCTACTATGCTTTTACCTCTGATATATGTTAAATAATTGTTGAAATGAATTTCAAAAATCCATCTTAAGAGAATCTTCCAACTTTTTAATAGTTCTTGAGATTTAATTCCTATCATCATAAATATCTGATCCTCAGTCTTTTAATTTTCAGAAAATTATGCATAACTCCCTGCAAAGCATATGAAATCAGCAGGGGGTGTTTTAGTAGTTTAGTTCATATTAATGAAAACAGTTTTATCCCTTAAAAGAGAAGTACGCGGTTTCATCAGTTTTGAAGCTTTGGAATATCTGCTTCATCTGGATATAGATTTTAATATGCTAAAATATTATAATTAATACAGAAATTACTAGCCCCACCTGTCAGTGAAAATGAAGAACTACAAATGACTCATATTAAACTAGAATGCAGAATTCCAATTTTCACAAATCCCAGAATGGTTATATAGGAAAACTACTTGTTATTTTAATGTTTATTTTAATGTAAATGCATATGTGACTTTATTTGGTACAAGTAATTTAATGTCTATTTAAGAAAAAACACTAGTTCTAAAAGGTTGTCATTTTATAGTTCCCTGGAAGAGACTTGAAAGCCACAAAAAGCAATATCTTTCTGCCGTGTGGGAATTTTCAGAGAAAATTAAATGTGGTTTGGAATTGCCATATTGAACTTTATCAAATGACTATTATGGTATGTAAAGTGCCCTTTTCTGATAGTATAATTCTGTATAATATGACTCAATATGACTCAATTCTCTAGAGAAATATTAACAGCTGCATTTTGCACATATTTAGTTTTTTTTTTATGGTTATTTGATGCCCACTGTTCACAAAGGAATCTACTGACCTACCTAGAGGGAAGAAGGAAATACATGATAATTCTGAGCAGATAGACCAAATGCTTATTCTATGGGGATAGAAGCAGGGCAACATATGGCAAGCAACACAGGCTAATTACCTGAGGGAACTATGTAACATTTATTCTATTTTTTTAAATATAATGTTTATCACTATTCCAGACAGTATTTGAAAGCCTGCTGATTATCCCCAAAGATCTGTCGATTGCTGTCAGGTATCCTGATGAGGTAATGAGGATAGGCAACGCCTTCAACTCAGGATGAGTCAGAGAACTGTGGGTAGGGTTTATCCTACACCAGAAAGCAAATCCTTGTGTGAATGAAGAAAAAAATCAGCACATGCTAAAGGCACTGTAAAAATAATTAGCCTTCATTATATTAATAGTTTATTAGTTTAAGCTTCAATGTTTAACTGGAAAAAAGGTTAAGAATAACACTGTGAATATGGATATATTTGTATTTAAGTATTTTCCATGCAGTTAAAACTGATGTGTGAACAAACTGCCCTGTGAATGGGGAAGCTCTGGATTCAACAAGTCAATAGGTCTCCTTGGGCATCTTGGTGATGGCCCCCTGTCCCTTCGTAGCAAAGTGTGGGCTACTAAATAAGGCCACATCTATTCCTTTCTCTGTTCCCTATCCTTTCCCATCTCTACTTCAAGCCTCAGAGACCAAAGAGTGTAGACCAAGGCCATCAGAAGCAGACACTGCCCCCGGGCACACCCCTGGTTTGTGGTCCACAATCTTCTAGTTGTGAGTTAGAATTCATTCACAGCAACGGGCTGCCTATTCTTCCACCTGAGAAGGGGTAGGTGAAGACAACAGGTAGAAGACTAGGGAGACTTGCTCAGCCTGGAGGCAGCCTCTTGTTTCCCTTTCAGCTCACCTGCAGCCCAGTGCCTTCAGATTGCTGTTGGATTTATCATAGTCCCCTAGCCTACTAGACTTCCCCCCCGTCTGAGTCACCCACAACAAATACTCCCCTCACCATTTTCCACAGTCCAGTATAAACCATCACGCCCCTAGTGAATTTCAGCTATGGGATTAAATGACTGATAGCAAGTATTATTTCCCAGTGATAGTTCTGTTTCTCCAGTTTGGGAACTAGGACCAGGCAGACATAATAGGCAGCTTCCCTGTTTCACCTAAGGTGAGAATCTAGACTTAGGCAATTCCAGCTTCTGGTATCAGAGTAGATACTTAAAAGGCAGGGAAAGGCAAAGCTACTGTTAACCCTCCCACTTTTCCCTTTTGAATGGGATGAGAAAAAAGGAGAATTTGTAGCTCCTAATATGGCC